CAGGCAGACGAGGTGCTTAGGGACGTGGTTTAGTGGTGGGATGGCAGGGTTAGGTTAATGGTTGGACTTGATGATCTTAAAGGTCTTTTCCAACCTAAACGAGTCTAGGATTCTACAAATCACGCTATACATTCTTGGGCCTGAAACAGTTCTCCGTCCCACTTTCGAGTGACGCCCTATATTGAAGTAGCGGAGTAGGACGCGTGTAGTTACACGGTGCATGTTTGACAGGTTGTGCACTGCTGCCTACTGCAGCATTTCGGTCAGAGCACACTGAAACGCGGTATTATATTCAACAGAACTTAGGGGAATGGCAACACAAAGTCTTTGGAGAAAGGCCGAGCTGTAACCAGAGGCTGTCAGCTCTCGGTGCGGCGACGGTGGGAAGCAGCCGGGTGGGCTGAGGGCAGGGGGAACCAGCTCCTGCTGCCACCTCCCCGAGAGCTGCTCTTTCCTGACAGGCTGACCAGTGGGACTAGTTTCGTCCGATGTAGCTGACCGGGTAATCCTATTAATGTCCCTAATTCAGATTAAAGACTATGCAGTTGCAAAGAGATCAAAATATAAAGTGGGGAAAAGCTTGTTAGTCCAAAGATAGGGGCTGTAAGGAGCGGGGGGGGGTCCACACCACTCCCGCACTCTCACCCTTGCAGAGCAGACAGGCTCCCGGGTTGGTCGGGCTCTCGGGGAATAGCCCCGCAGTCCTGGATTGAGATGACCCTCACCCACCTTCCCCCGGTAGCGGCAGTCCCAGCCCCGCAGACAAACCCGCGCCCCCTGGGTGGTGGGAAGCAGCGCCTGTCGGGCATGGGCTGCAGGCGTCAGCGGATCGTGCTTTTCCCCAGCCCTCAGGACAAGTACTTGAAGCGCACAATTCTCATCACGCATTAAAGCAGTAAATAGTAGTAAACTGTAGTGGTGAATTACATGCCGCCGCTAACTTGAAATTTTGAATTTTAATAAAGGGAGGACATAAGAACTCAGAGGATGAGCAAGAAGCCTGCCGTCAGCATAGCACCTCCCTTGTCAGGAAAAATTAAATGCGTGTCATCTAAAACCTTCCTGGTGGCAGTCACAGAAGTGACTTGCTCCTTCAGCTATGGTCAGACCAGTTAAGACAAACCACCTCTGGTGTGTGCCCCACTGCTTCCCCCAGCTCCTCGCAGCCCCACCCAGCCCCCCCTTCCAGCAGCAGCATCAGGGCCTTGACCCGCTGGAGGTTTCTCTTCAGGGCTGTGTTTGCTTTTCAGCCCCTGCGGAGGCCTTGGCCAAGCCCCTGTAGCACTGCTGCTCTACTCCTCGCACAAGAGACTGGAGATACCGTCCCCCACAGTCTTTATGGGAGCCAGAGAGCAAAGCAGGACTGAGCTAGGCCAGAGCATGGTCATTACCCAGCTGTCAGGGACTAAAACCAGTTTTTTTTCCAAGAGGTAGGTTTTCACTGCACACTCTACCTTTTAAAACATCTGCTTCTATTTAGTTTGGATTTTTTTTTTTTTAAAGCAGGGTTTAAATCTGTGTATGCAGTAGGACAAGAAGAAACAGCCTCAAGTGGCACCAGGGGAGGTTTAGATTGGGTATTAGGCAATATTTTTTCACCGAAAGGGTTGTCAGGCACTGGAACGGGCTGCCCAGGGAAGTGGTGGAGTCCCCATCCCTGGAGGTATTTAAAAGACAGATGGACGAGGTGCTTAGGGACATGGTTTAGTGGTGGACTTGGCAGTGTTAGGTTAGCAGTTGGATCTCATGATCTTAAAGGTCTCTTCCAACCAAAACAACTCTTATGATTCCATCAGCCTACTATAAAACATAACCAGACTCCCCCACCCCCCCAAAATCAGCAATGAAGAGCACATAGCAAGTGGCAACACACCCGATGGTGGATCCAGGGCACCAACTTTTATTTTGAGCCAAGGTAAGCCGGTCGCGCAGCTGCTTAGACACACAAGGGAAAGGCAGGATCGTTTTCTCCCATTCCTGAGGAAGAACTGGCACCAGCAGTAACACGGCCTCATCTCAGGTTGCGGCCCTGGATCTTCCTTGGGTAATGCTACGCAGGCCGAGGGGCTGCAGCGGGGAAGTGCTCCAGGCCAAAGCAGGTGGGGTCTGTTTGGCATGCGGGGTGAGTCACGACATCGTACACCAACGCAGCGCCGGCGTGCGCCTGTACCACGGCCACGCCGGTTCCCGCCGCCATCCCGGCAGGGCTACGGGAGCAGCGGCCTCCGCCACCGAGGAGCTGCAGACACGTACAGAGCATGACAGAGCTACGTTCCTTCCCAGTGCTGTATAGAAACCATCCAGCTTTTGCATTTTGAGTAAAATTCGGAGTTGCAGTTACAATATAAATAGTAACACATAGCAAATCAAATCGAAATACATACTGCGTTCACACTCCAGGCTGGTTTTAATGGCAAACTGTCTTCAAGCACAATGAATATTTCTGCCTCTGACCACTGTTACCATTTATAGAGGAACTTTTTTTCCAGCTGATCTGTAAGTTTACATAAAACAACTCTCCTTAAGACCGCAAAATAGAATTCTGTTAAATTATCTTAGGCAACTGTAATTTGTACTGGGTCAGAAACCAGGCAGCAGTCTTTTGTCTAGAGAAAAACATCAACTGGAAGAGCGAAGTGCATGTATCGCTTCCTGAAACATGGGGATGGCTGCTAACTTTAGGTTTAGAACCACAAAACTAAACAGAACAGCTTTCCCACTATCATTGTTTATTCCCTTTCCTACTTCCACATTTAATTCCAGAAGTAAGTATTTCTTAGACTGTATCTTCAAAACACAAGCCATTTTGTACCTCTTTTAGCTGGCCTATAAAACTGTTCTGACAAGTTGAATCCAAATTGAGACTTTTCTCTACTTTCAAGGAAAAGTTCATCAAGTTTTATAAAATATTTGCTTTACAGAGCCAGGAGTTGAGATTTCCAACCATGTACAATACACTTGCGACTAAAAGGTAGAAATTTTACCTCCAACTAAAGGGTTAAAAAGAAAAAAAATAGAGTCCCCTTTGACTGCAGGACCCAGGACTTTATGCACCATTTGAAAGCCCAGGCATCCCCTTCTGCCCCCAGTTTTCAAGTAGGGGAAGTTAAAATGAGACAGAAAGAAAAGGACCTTGAAGAGATCAAGAGGCTCCAGTAACACAATAACATAAATCCTCTGAAGAGTTTCAGCAGTTCCAGTTACTTGCAGTTGGCGTGTGTACCTTGTCATGTGCTTTACTTTGACTTTGTGGATGTAATTAAATAAAGTCCAGTGCAGGAGAGCATTGAGGTTTCTGAAGAGTTGTGTAGCCCTTCTCTTAGGAGTCAGCACTATACAGAACTGGCTGAAGTCAGGAGGTCAACTTGTCGATAAACACCATCAAAAGAAGCGCTCAAGGTTCTGTGACAGCTTGCAGAGCTGGACTAACCCTTGCATGCACCCTTGCTAAGCAGCTACCTCTGCATATATCTCTCTATTGCAGGTTTGCTGTTTGGTGTTGAGAACTGAATCTAAGGTCATACTCAAAAAAAAAAAAAAACCAAACCAACAAACCACCACAAATTGCCTTTTGACCTTCCGGGAACTTAGGACTTTCACTTCATAAAGGTTTATCAAGCTTAAATTATTTACGGTTTAATACAAAGCTGAAATAGCAGGCTAGAGAAAAGAAGGCTTCTCAAAACAATCCTGTATACATCTATTTTATAGCTACCTCTTCTGCCTAGCCCCTCCCAAAGTTAGCCTGAAAAACAGTAAAATCTACACAAAGTTTTATTGCAATCATACAAGGGATACATCAAGGGTCAAATACAACAAACACTATGATGCAATTTTACATTTATTAAACTACAGTTCAAAGCACAAATTTACACATTCTAAATACACTAAACATCTAATGAAGTCACACTGGTCTCCCACTGACATTTGATATATCCGGGCGAAAGACAATAACTTTACAAGACTGTTCTAACAGGAATCCTTAGTATAAAAACTGTGTACTTGTATGTAAACTGTTGAAGAACCCAAGTGATGGGTTTCCATCTCCACTAAGTCATCCATTTTGTTGCATATTTAAACGCTCAGGGGTTGAATGAACTTGATTTTAAATTTGGATGCCATTATCTAACCCTCCCCCCCACCCCGGTGAATTGTAGCTGTAGCTTGTTTTGCCTGGTCCCCATTAGCTATTACTATTTTTTCAAGTTTTGAAGAGAATGAATTGAATTCAAGATTGTTCCATTTCTTCCACACTGGAATGTTGACCAGACAAACTACAGACTTGCAACTGCAGGTCTAAATGAAGCGTTAATGCCTGTTTAAGCTGCAGTGGAAAAGCGGTCTTCTGGGCTCAGCTGAATGCAAGAAGGCACAAAGAAGAAATTCTTCATCAATGTGTCTGAAGCAATTCCAGCATCTTGCATCTCATCCCTGCAGCGGAAAAGGACAAGAGTTGTAATGAAGTGATTTTGTGTACATTTGCACATCAGAAACCAGCCCTCAATATGGCATTCGAGCTCTGCTGCCCCAACCAGCGAGTGCTTGGCAGGCACCAAAGGGCCCCGACTCTCCACTGGCAGAAGCACAGGGCCCTGCTACCTCAGTATAGAGACAGGTTACCCAACTCTTGCCATCACTGCAACAGCCTTCCCGCCCATCCTGCCCACAACAATGGTGCTGTTGTTGTACACAAGTTGCAATTATTGCTTGACATCAGCTGTCAGGGCTTCCTAACACTACTAAAAGGCTATTACTCAGCAGCAACTCCTGCTAAACTCAGTCCACACTGGGAATTTTGCTTTCCTTTATCAGCCCTAAAGCAAAGCAGGCATTTTACCACGGCTCTCAGTTTAGTCTTAGCCAAGTCAGACAGAAGAGTAAAAAACCCCAAATTAAAAAGGCACGCTCTTGTGCTCAGTTGCGTCTTCCTGTATTTGCCATCCACATAATTTATATTTGGCTGTAAGCATACACTCTTGAAGGAAGTGAAAACCGTCTTGCCACTTATCAAGAGAATTTTCTTACCAGTCACTGAAAGACATCATGTAGTAAATCAGTGGCCTCTGATAGTCGTTAAAGGTAGACTGTTCACCTAAGGTACCAGAACCCATATTATCAAAGATCAGCCAATCTCCAACGCTCAGCTCGGGAAGAAGACAGTTTTCCACAATTTGATCAAGCTCATCACAGGATGGACCCCAAAGGCTGCTTGCAAACAGAGGCTCATCTTCCTTGTATTTCTACATGGAAACGATCCAGGTAATTCAGGCTTCAGTTTATTAAATAAGACAGTTTTCAAATATACATAAGGATGATTTTATAAATAATATATAATTATATATTTACTTAACACCTCATATATATATATGTAAAAACGTAAGATAATAAGGCCTGTCTCTGGAGAATATAGAAAGACTCACCTTGTGAACCTCTGGGATAGTATTCAGTTTCTCAGACAATTTACTTGCAAAAGAACCATAAACACCATCATTTATGTAATATGTAAATACTGGTTCATCATCATTCCTGGTTTGCTCCACTGGAAGTAAAAAAGAAGTTGTCTTGCATGCGTTTTTTTGTCATAAGTAGTCCTTCTGCAATCTAACTTAAGTCAACTGCTTTCTCCTGACAAGGGAGTTCCATATAGACTGGAACGGGAGAATTACGAGCAGAGTGATCTGTATGAGACCAGATTACAAATTCAGTTATAACATTAGGTGTCAGGCTTAATAAAATTAGTACTTCCAGTAATAAGCACTGTTAAGAATATAAATCCAGTTGCTGCTTTAGCAGAGAAGCAGCTAGCTCTGTGACAGGTTTTTCTATGTTCTTCTAACACAGAACCTCCTAATACACAAGATAATATTCTAATACGTCAAGCACCCAGTGTAGGTTTAACCATTGGTAAGTCAAACCCAGTAAGGAAACAAGAAGTGTCACAACTGTAACAAAGAAAGTGAGATACACAGATAACATATGGCCAGAACCCCAAAGGTGGATCACAGTGCAAGCGTAAGGGAAAGTATTAACTCTATGCAGAGACAAGGTAGTCCTTCCTGACTAAACAACGCAGGCTGTTACCTGTACGGACTCGTGACATATAAAAGATAAATGCGGCCCTTACCTCCAGAAGGAAGAAGTTTATCGTACTCAGTAGTCTTCTTTGCAATGATGTTAACTGCTAGTGTAAATGCAGATGAAACATAGTAAAATCCAGGCTCTGCAATCACATTAACACCAGATTCCTTAGGAAAGTAGACATCTAGCAATGGCCTGATGACATGGTTAACCTAGGGAATTGAAGTCAGAGGCAAGACCAGTGAAACTCAGCTTATGTATATATCAGATATCCGCTGTCAGCAACAGTTCTAGTAAGCACACCAAAAGCTTACTCCATCCCTCTCCTCTCTGAGAGCTGCCCTTACCAGAGGTCCAAAATTTACAGAAGTGTTTAAGAAAATAGGTCATTCTGCTGAACACTGAAGCTTGAGTACCATGAATCCAAGTACTACACAAGTCCCTCCTCCCAGTCAAAGTTCAAGTTGTGGAACACTCAAGACTGCAAAAGTTAGTTCAAAGTCTAATTTTTACATTATCTGTTGTGCTGGACATATGAATCCAGAAGAACAAGGAAAGGGCCTTTTTGTGATCAGTTCTGAATACTGTCATATTAGAAATGGAATTAATTATTTAATACTGATGCTCAAATTTTAAGCCAGACATCGAGGATAAACAAGTATTTTGGACAAGCAACAGAACAGTTAGAACTAAAGAAAGAAAATAGTAACTTTTCACTGAATCATTGTCAAAATTCAAGGAGTTTTTCTTCAAGACAACAGAACAGTGTAAGCAGGCTGTTCTGTTTTATGAGATACTGCATACTGAAGGTCCCATTTAGGCCAAAGCAGTATAAGACTTTTATTTAAGGCTAGCCACAGCAAAGATAAAAGCAAGGCCTCTGGTCTTCAGTTCTAAAGCAAAGTACCAGAAACTGTCCTACAGTAGCAATATGGCTCATGATCCAAAGCATGCTGAGCAATCCTGGCCCAAACCACACAACAGAGTAACCGGTTGGACAACAGTTAACTGCCAAAAAAAATGAATTGCTACTGTTAAGGTGGCTTAGGATAGTAGTTTAGTCTGTGACATGCTTAAGTTGGCATTCACCCAGTATGAACAGGATTAAAAAGAAATAATGATCACCTCCAAGGACTGATTACACTACCAGTGTAGTTGAACATAAAACCAATTACTAGGATCTTATGAATTACATGGAATTTAGACTAGATTTCAGCAATCAATGATAGTTGCAGTCTGAAGGTTAAAACACTTCAACTTCCTAAATCAAAATTAAGAGTTTCAACTTCCAATACATTGCATACCTCTTCCAGCTGAAGTTCTGAACCTGTGAAGCCCCCACCAATATCCAACATGTTCATCTTAAAGCCAAATTCTTCCTAAAATGCATAGACAGAACATAAGTACACAGACAACTGTAACTGTAAAAATATTTTTTTGTTGCTCCTTACTGTGGTTGGTTTCTATCTACTTTTACTTTTGAGCATATTTAGCAAAGAATGTCTGATGAGGGAGTTACGGCACAGTAAAAGTCAGCATAGCTCCATTAAACCTAGTAGTAATAGCACTGGGCTGTCCATAGAGGCTGGTTTACACAATTCTCAAGCAGAAGTCCCATAGCAATGGCAACTCCCATCTTGGCAGCATTTGTCATATTCAGACAGTATTTGCTGAACATAGTGGTGCATTTTGACAAAAGAAAGTTTTAGGAATTGACAAATATGTATAATGCAAGTCTTTTGGCTACTGCTTATGTGACAGGACTGCTACAAAGACTTTGTACAAAGACCACTGAGAACTTCAGTTCTGTCGCCCTCTGTGCATTACCAGTCACAGCTAATGCACTAACTGCAGTAATCCAGGAGTAAAAAGATGCGCAGTCTTCTCTATTTAGTTTACAAGCTTCTCATTTATAGGAAGACAGACGTTCAGAGAAGGGATTTTTGAATTTTGCGATATGAGAGATACACATAGAACATGTAAGACTCACATGAGTCATCCAAAGCATCCAACAAATCCATTCTTCGTCATCCAAATGTGGATATTGCCCCCCCCCCCCCACTTCTTATGATGCTTAGTTATTCATCTCAGAAGTCGCATGCACCAAGTTAGTTGTTAGATCACAATAAATGCCAGCACACAAATGCTTAGTATTTTAACAGAACTTAAATGTCAACTGTGTATTTGCAGGACTGAGATTTGAATTTCAAAAAGCCCTTACCGAAAGCAGGAAACTATTTTTCATTTGAAAACAGCATAGAAGGCTACTGCCTGCCAGTGGGACAGTATTCATTAACATTTGCCCACAGTTTGGATTGTAAAGTTTGTTTTACCTCTACCACGTGCATCTCAATGGAGTATTTAGTCCCTTACTAAAAGTTCCATTTCCTACATTGATATATTTTGGAAATAGCATAGTTGACTTGTTAGTAGGATTAGAATAGAATGGATCCTCTCCTGTAGCAATTGTGTGTGCATATATCCACTTACAGCCATGTCAAACACACACCGAGCATCAGATAGAGCATGAATGTACGTTTGCAGTTCCTTGCAAGAGCCTGAAACATGAAATCTGAAAGAAATAAAAAACACAGTTAATACACTGAACCATGCAGCTTTCAGACCAAGCAAACTGTTCCACCACTTAACACAGCCATAGAAGTAATTCACTCCCAAGTGGCCCAAGACAAGCTTGCATGATAACATAGCAACTATGCCAAGAACAAGCTCAGAAGTCAACTGCCTTTTCTATTCTGTTGGATTTGTACTCGAGGTCTGTCTTGCTTTTAATGCTAAGAATGGCCTACAATACTCTCATCTTAAAGAAATAACAGATTTACTGAACCTTTCAGTCTTCACTATCAAAGTGGTTAACATTTTTTCTTCAGTGGATGCCAATGCTAACACAGTACCTGGACACAGTCTCCTCTCTCTTGTCCTACTTTGGGTTGCCTTGCCTGTATACCCTTTCTCCTGGGCCATCTAGTTTTCTTCCCACAGCTAGGGCTGTACTGTGCACACGATTTATTCTCTCCAACATCTGGGAGAGGGTGAGGAGAGGCATATCCCACTGCCACCTTGTTCTGAAGCGTCTTCACTCCAGACCAGGTCCTAGTTTCATAGCAAGACTGACCAGGCTGGTGTGCAGAAGCAGAGCAGTACTGATGCCTCCCATGGGCTCTTGAATCCCCTCTGGTAACTTGCCCAAAAGCTTTAAGTAATGTCACAATACTGGCAGTAACTGAGGTGCTAGAGTAAGTGCCAACACTCCCATGAGCTTCCTAAAGACTAGCATGGTCTGCTGGTGCTGGACAGGCCCTACACATACTCATTCAAGCCACAACGCTCTACTACAAGTCTACTCCTTTAAGGAATGCCATTTTGAAACAAAGGTCACTTAAAACTTACTTGAATGAATCCACACGTGGATTTTTTTAATAAAGAAAATGCACAAAAGCCATGTGATTTTTATTAAAGTTAGGTTAGACATTTATATAAAAGAAGTACATTTTCTCAGTAGTATCACCTAATTTTTAAATACATTTGTCATTTGTAATGATCATAGTATGTTTATGCTTTAATTTAACATAAATCTCAAACGGATTTACATCAAAACAACTGCGGTTTAAATCCTCAAAATTTGTCTTCCATTTTAAATACTTTTTTTACTGTCTTGATAACCCACCCTCTTACTAGTTTGGTTGCTTTCTTAAAGCATTCATGGGCATGCGATACATTAGTAGCTGAAGGTAGACAGAACAAAGACTTGTGCATGCATTTTTTGTCTGTATAGCAAAATCTTTGTCAAACTTAAAATTAAAATGCCACAGATCATTTGGAAGCTCTCAGAACACTAGGATTCATTCCTGCCATCTGCAAGTCAAAAAAAACCCTATCTAAACATTACGTCTTGATATCAAAGAGTGACATAGGACCTAACTCTTAGAAAATCCAGTCCCATGTTCATCTTGTTCAAGGTCTGTCCAAGCTATTCCATGCTATACTAGCACCTTATTTATTGCTGGAACAATACAAATCAAGCTACCAAGGAAGTTCAAGAGCACAGCTAAAAAACAGGAAAGGCTTCTAAGCTTTGCTTTTATGCTGACAGAAGGATTTCTGATACTCTATTTCAAATTGCTTTGATGTCTGTAATAGCTATTTTGTTTCACACAGTTTTTGGTTGGATATTCGCAAAAACTCATGATCCAAGAGTTGGGGTTTTTTTTAAACCCCTGTACAATAGTGCTAAAAGAGGAAAAAATTCTTTTGTATTCTACATCTTGAGTACATCATACAAACAACTGCTCAGCCAGCAGAGAACAATAAAGTTACTCACTTGACACCAACTATTTGGACTCCCAACTCCTTAGCACATTCCATGAGGTGCCTACAGTTCTTCAGGGTGGTGCCAAACTTCATATTCATCTCCTCATCAGCAGTAATGTCTTCTGTGGCAATGTGCAGTAAGAGCCTAAGAGAAGGGGAAGATGATTGGGGCAGTTGGTTTACATCATCAGCACATGTGAAGCCTGAAGACTGTCAGAAGTGTGTTGATTATGTTGTCAGTACTCCAGCTCCATCGATGGATGAGTCAAGTGAACCTAATAAAAACAATCCTGTACAGAGAAAAAACTAGCAATTAGGGGCTAAAACATGGAGCCAACAAGGACAAGGGATTTCGACTAAGACTTTTGTAGCAGCAAGAGTCTGCTGAGTGCTGTAATAAAAGAGAATGTTACCTTCTAATAAAGTATACTTCCTCATAAAACCATTAAGACTGTAATATGCTTTTCCCACCTCTGTCCTCCTTTCTAGGAAAGAGGAGAGCATGGAGATTCCCCTTCAGTCATGTAACAGATGGGGTTAAACTCAGCATCTGGAGAACACCAGGCTGACACACTGAAAGCACCCCCTGGCCACTTCCCTCCACCTCCCCTCCTGGCTGAGCACCTGGGGTGAGGGTGTCAGTTCATCCCCTGCCCCTTCCTCCAGGGCAGCTGTGGAGCTGCGAAGCAATAAGTACCACCTCTTAACAGCCTTGCGCAGCAAGACAGCTTCCTCCCTCCAGTCAAAGCCTCATTCTGCATAGGTCTGGCAAACTGCAGTGCCAGTGTTGACTGTTTTGCACATTAACACTTGAGTGGCAAAGGCACGTTCACATCAAAATCTCTAGAGGTATATCCCCAAAACTCAAATTCAAACTTCTGTCCGCTAAGAAGGTCACTGGCTTTCTCCTTCCCCCACTCCTCCCCAATAAAGATCAATTAATTAGCCATGTGGTAAACCAGACGGAATTTGTGTCATGACATACATGCAGACTGCACAGAGCATGTTAGTTAGCCAAGATAGAGAGCATAAACAAGCAGAAGTTCTTCATCCAAAGTGACATAGTTCTTTTCAAGACATGCAACAAGCAAAACTTAGCCTAGCCACCACAGAATGCCTGTTGGCCTAACAGCTACCTTGACTCCTAAAAGCCCTTTCCAGATGTCTCATTATGTGCTTAAAATGCATTTTGTAAAGAGCAAAAAATCCCAAGTTCTCACACAGGTTGCCCAGCAATCCTTGTTAGTTTATACCACTTCATCTTGAGAAACTGTGACTAGCTTCTCATTTCCTGCTTCTCCACTAGCACAGACAATTCTGTTCAAGAAATCTGAAGTCAATATTTTGTAAAGCAAAAAAATATAATAAAAAACTGTCAAAAGTTAAACTCCAAGATGAAAAAAATTTCTAATCCATAATACTACAGTTTGTAACCTCACATTAAGATTAGACAAAACCATTTCTTAAAGACATTCCATGTTAAATTGTATTGATGAGTTGTTATGGCAGCATTGTGAGTCAAGGTATTTTTCTAGTGCAAGCCACTGAAAAAGTGTAATTCTGATTTCTAGAAATCTAGCAGGACTCTTCTTCCTGGGTTTCACACAGAGTAGGGCTAGAGGATGATGTGTGTGTTTGGGAGTCTGGGTTTTTATTTAAGGAAGCATTGATACTTGTAACAACCACACCTCTACTGGAGTTCTTAGGGCGCCCAGCAACCTTAGCAGTTACACTTTGCCTGGAAAAATCCAAAGGTATAAAGAAACGAAAAGACTAAGCACTCCTTTCTGACATTTCTCCTCTTAAAAAAAATTTGCAGTCATTCAAGTTACTAAGACTTCCAAAGGCAGAAGCATCAATTATAAAGAGAGACCTACCCAGTACTGAGTTTAGTGCAGAAAGTTACAAGAATTTGCAGAAAAGGAGGAAGAGAATTACAGCTTTCTGGGCAGGAGTTCCTCAACCAAAGCGTAATTGCTTCACCTACAAAAAGACAGCCTGGCTGTAACAACCACGCATAGGAAGAACAAGGCTTTATAAAGGCTTTGACTTTTTGAAACTATGCCAAGGCAGAGAAAGAAGAAAACTCACAGCTGTCACTTCAGCACCAAAGTTTTAATGATCTGAGGAAGAGAATTAGAATAAACCAAACAGATCTCTACCCAGTAGGAGAGCTGGAGATCTGTTTCTAGAAAGGTTAGACGGCAAATTGCAGTTCTTTTGTAGGAATTTAGTTTCTTGTCCTTAGGTAAACAGGAACTTTTTCAAGTATTAGACTATGAGATCCTTGAAAATTAGTGAAGAGTTTATGTTGTTTTTCTCTAGCTCACGAAACTCATTCAGTCTGTCTCCCCACTTTATATCCAGATGTCTCATTATGTGCTTAAAATGCATTTTGTAAAGAGCAAAAAATCCCAAGTTCTCACACAGGTTGCCCAGCAATCCTTGTTAGTTTATACCACTTCATCTTGAGAAACTGTGACTAGCTTCTCATTTCCTGCTTCTCCACTAGCACAGACAATTCTGTTCAAGAAATCTGTAGTCAAT